GTGTGTGTGTGTGTGTGTGTGTGTGTGTGTGTGTGTGTGTGTGTGTGTGTGTGTGTGTGTGTGTCGAAGTCAAGGAAAAATAGAGTTTTCATTGCTCCTATACAATTCATTTCTTACCTCCAAAATGTCTTAGAATCATACCAGACAAGGTGCTTTGATGAGCAGATATCAATTAAAACACTTTGCCCCCAGAGGCATATTAGATATTCGTTTGCACACTAACAATCAAACATTAACCCCAAAAAAAGCTCCACACCTAATTACATCGACTGAGATTGCCGTGCACTTCGGCACCAGACCAGTGACCTGGAAAATGCACATGTGAACAGTCTGGGTGAAGCCTGGGAAAACAGATGCTGCAGGGTTCAGACCGGGTTGGGTGTTTCTGCAAAATGTCAGAGGTTAACCCGTGTTGCGGATCCGCTGCTCCATGGCAACAGCCCCTGTTAAAAAACACATTCAACTAGAGAGGTCCTCCCCTAACCGAGACCGTGATGGCTACAGAGAACGGCCTAATGTGTCTGGTTATACTGTCTAAATGTAGCCTTTTTTGCAAACACCTTTTGTTGGATTTCAAATGGATTCTGGTGCTCCCATCATGCAATGCTTTCTTCATTTAGATGGCTCAGTCCTTGGAAATGTAATCTCTTTATTGAAAGTACAAACTGCTGAGAGGACATGCCGTTCATGTGGCTGCTTCACAATAAAAGCCACACAATGTTTTGCCAGTTCAACGCTTTTAATGTGAAGCAGCTGTAACAGGATGTTCCGTTTGCATCGGTAGTAACTTTGACGCAGTGTAAAGAGAGTTGACAGTGAAACACGCCTGCATCCGATTCCTGTGACTCCCTCGCGCTCGTGGAGGCAATCTGAATACGACACGGGAATGGCGGACTCCACCACTAACAATGAAAGCTTCTGGATAGAGCGATAATTACTGAATGTATTGAATGGCTGCTGTTGAAAAACCAATGCAGACAATAAATAGTATGAAAAAGGATTGTGAATTCAAGAAAACATTGTTTCCTCCAATCATTTAAGGTATTTCATTTGTATTAAAGATGGCCTTGGACACTTTCTCATTGCTCTCCAGTGTTTCAAAGGGCTTTAAAAACAAAAACTCCACATTTCGAAATAGACCCCGGAAGAATGCTACCATTATAAAACTGTGTTCAACATGTTTATAGTAAAGAGAACATTTCTCAGTCCAGCAGTGAACCCAGGAAGGCGTTCAGCCTTGTCCCCGCCGCGCCCTCCTCATCCTTAATGCTCCGCTACGAGCTCATTGGGATGCAGAGAGGTAGCTTTTCATTTGCACACCCAGATGAATGGCTGCGTACGCAGAGGGTCAGCATGACCTGGATACGAATATTCATTTGCTGATTTAATTAAAGCTTTGGTAGTGTGTGTGTGTGTGTGTGTGTGTGTGTGTGTGCACAGGTGCCTTTGAGTGGGTGGGTGGATGAGGGAGGTGTAAAGTTTCTGTCACAGGGAGTGTGTTTGTTTGTGTATTATCAGTGAGAAGAGACGGAGGCGGATGCCCGCTGTGGCACAGATGAGAATAGCAGACACCCACTGAGTTTATTCATTACAGGACTATTTTCTGCGGGTTATTTATATTACGTATGATGTAAATATACCATTCACCAAGTGAACAAAACAGCAGCAGAGAGGGGCAGCTGTGTTCTATTTTATTCTGACCTGGAAAAATACTCTTTAAAAAGAACTTTCTTGAAAGAGTCCAACAGCTACATTTCAGCCAGAGCTTTCCTCACACCATAAGAGCAGCAATTTGTTTTAATGAGCCACCTCTGCATTGTGCGAGAGACCTCGGGTCTCATTTCCCAGACTGCAAAAAAAAAAAAACCTTTCATTTTTTTTTTTGTCTCCTCTCAGGTTCCGGGTGACGAAGTGTGAAAAACCGACCCGGGAGAGGCGGACGCTGCTAATAATGGACTCTAATGGGAGCGTTCCCTCGTCTCCCACGGCGCTGGAGCCCAAGAGCCGGACGACGTCAGAGTCCCAGCAGGTCTGTATCCTCGAAACCTCTTCACCTGTGTCCTGCTTTCTCTCCACTTCCGTCTTCTTCCACGCTTACACACACACACACACACACCCTGTGTATAAATAAATGTTGCTTATGTGTGCGTGCAAAATGATGTGTGTGTATACCTGCTTGTCTGTGCTCTTTTAATAACGGGCATGTTCACTTCCTGGTGACGTTCTGCCTTTCTTACGCATCAGTCGACAAATGTTGTTGTTGAGTCTGTAGCTGGAAACTAGAGAATTATCGTTTTTATTTTCCTGAAAAACGGCTTAAATGATGAATCAATTATCAAAATAGTAGCCGATTCATTTTTGGGCGATTGCCTAATTGACGGATGTCACAAACGACATCGTATTGGTGACACAGTGATGCAGTAGATTCAGCTGTGTGTAGTATTATGTAAAGTTAGTGTGATTATAGCTAAATGCGTGTTGAAATATTCATGATAAAAGAGCTACTGAAATATCCCAACCGAAGCAATAATTAGCCTCCAGCCTGTGGTTTTCTGTTTACTATCACAGGAACTCTGGTTATGAAATTGCGATGCTCCAGGTGATCGTAAACGGCCTCCGTTGGCTGTTTTAGAAAGGCAACAAACCTGATGGGAGAACACACCCAATCTGAAGATTATCAAAGATTCATTTCTGTATTAAATCAAGATTACGTCCTTCTCCAGGAACAGACGGACAACTTGGACAAAGAGAACCGATAGCAGTCTGGAGGATCCAGAGGAGAGAAGACAACACCTGGACAAAACAAGAACATTCAAACATCAGCGCTGGAGGAGTGAAGTCCACCAGGGGAGTTGTCCCCTCCACATTCCTGCTCCACGGGGAGCCAAACGTGCTGCTGAGGATGAGGACGACGGTGGCGAGAGTGACATTACAGTTGCACCAGCCAGTTATTTCACAAGCAGTAATGAAGAATGTGAGATACACTCTATTTCCTCTCAAAATAGATTTACAATAGTGCCTTACTCATTGGCGTTTAGGCACGGCGGCTGCTTAATGTCAAGGAAGCCTGGACCGGGGCTTTCCCGATGAACTAAGGTCTTGTTGCTCAATATGCCGATGATGTGTGTACATATGTTTTTGTATGTGGAAAGGTAACCCAGAATTTTTGTAGCTCATCAGTCAGTTAGTTGATCGAACTACACCCCAGAGACGCACACAGCCAGTCTGAGATTAAATTGGACGCTTAAACCTGCATCCTGAGACCGGTCAGTCTGCACCACCCTTCAAGGTCTCGTACCAGATTTTCTATTTCTTATTTCCCATGTGTCAATTACGTATAAGTAAATATCTAAATCCTGTTTATTTTAAATTTTAGTTTTTTAACAAGTTATAGTAACATAAACATAAAGTTGTTTTCGGCTAATGTGTTGGCAAACATTTGCCTGTTTAAACATCCAGCAGACATTGAGCAACATTAGCTTTCATGACCTCCTGGTGAGCTGCGGCGTTCACTCTTCTTTTAGCTTTGTTCTGGTCTCAACGTTACCAGACAGAGAATGTCTTATGAAAAGATGCATTGTGGGAAATGTAGGACTAAGAAAAGTACAAGTCATTATATCTCAGGCTTTAAGTTTAATTAATCACCCTTTTAAAAAAAATCGGTCTAATGTGAGTACTTTTATGGAAGTGCGATACTAAAGTACCTTTTAAAGACTCTCATGAACATCCAAATATATCGTTTCCCCCAAATCTTGATCAAAACATATAATTTTAGGCATGTCTTTTTTCATTTGTCATTTCACATGTCATTTCATTGTGCCTAATTTCTTTAAAAAAAATAAAATAATAAATACGTGTTTTATATTTTGGTTTGCTGTGTTTCTATCCTTGTATAATAAAAGAAATAAAGAGGACTAACGCATGTCAAACCATAAATAATTAGCTTTATTGTTGTCATTGTTGTATACTACTAGTATTCCGCTAACGTGCGGGTTATCGTCTCCCTCTCCTCACTCATGCGAGTGAACCATCTGTCTTCATATTCTATTCTTTCTCATCTCCTTCTCTCACGTCTGCGCCCTCCTCGCTCCTTCTCGGGCCGTTTTTCGCGGCGTAATTGAAAAGATGATTTGTCTTATTCATCTCGACCAGGTATAGTCTGACGACCTCGGGCTCTCTATCATATTATTTCCAGTTAATGGAGATGAGATGGAGAGATGTTTCCAGCTTTAACAATCCTTGACTTGTTTTGTCTTCTCTTGACCTTCCGAGTCTTATCCGGTTCACTCACGGAGGATACAGAAGTTTCTGACCTTTTACAATAGACGACCAGAAAAAAAAAAGATAAAAATCTGTTAACCATTTTAGTGAATAACCAAAATTAACTTCTCTTACCAGCAAAGGATGCGATTAAACAAGTTTTCTGAGAGACATATGGCTGCCGCTGGTGTCACTTGACAGCGCTGGAGGGAGGATTGACTCAAAACATTAACATGCAGTGGAAAAAACCACAACCCTGATAACACACAAGGAGACGTCACCACACCCACCCATGACTGCAAGCTCAATGCAAACCTGCCTTTCATAAACACACACAAAACAGAGGCAAGCTAGGGGTTTTAAACCTGTCAGACGGATGCGGTTGACAGTGCAGGACATGAATAAGCAGCACGAGATGCCGGTGTAAATATTGACTCCAGTTGCATGCATGCGTGTTTACTTTAGCTCTCTCTCTCTGTCTCCGGGTGAGGGTGTCCCCAGTGTTATGAAAAGTTCCTCACACTCCATTAAAGCCGCCAAAAATTACCCTCAGGGAAATAAGGTATGCATATAAAAGCGGTATAGATAATATTAAAGCTCCGTTCCGTCTCTTTTGCATGACTTCATAAGCAGTAAATTTATCTCGGGCTCTGAATTATTCAGGCCTCCAGGCGACAGGGTTCCCAGGCCGATGCCGGGCTAAGTGCCCCGCATCTTATCTTTGTCCCTGGATATCAGCCAAGAGGATGGAGCTCTGGCTCAGGTAGGGAATATTTTTTTAGGGAAATATTTGGTACCAGAGGGAGGAAGTCTAGTCAATGTTTAACACCTTCTGAACTACATCAGGTCCCGTAAACGCAGTGACCTTCTAGAATGGCTCACTGCCTTTCTTTGACTCAAATAGTGTGTTTCCAGTGTGCTTTTACGCATGTCGGCAATAACTTGGAAAAGGGCTTACGCAGTATCTTAACCAGAGTTAAAGCAGCACTGTGTAACTCCTGAAAGCACAAATAGGACAAAAGTTGAACTCCTAGCAATCATTACACTCACTGGTTTTGCTACTATGTCCACAGTTGGTCTGGTGTGACCAGCAGCTTGCAGGTTGTTGCCTATTTTTTTTTAGCTAATGATCTACTCTACTTCCCTACTGTAATAACCTTTTCAACAGATTGTAATTCAAGTGGTACTGCAGAGTAGGCAGTTTTCTGGAAAAGCAAGGGAAAATGCTGCTAAAAGTCAACATCTTCTCCATCTCTGTTGTCAGAATCTCTTTTTGATAATAATTTGGCAATGCTGGAATAGCAACTTTCCTGCAGGATATTTCACCGTTGAATCCGGCTCCCATCGGAGGGATGTGCACGTGCATTGTCAACAGTAAAGCCCTCTCTCTGAAGTGACCTGTGATTGGCCAAAGTCTGCCGTCACAGGCTAGAGCTTCTAAAGCCTGAAAGTTGTTGTGGAATTTTTACCCAATGACGCCAAAAGTATCCACCCTACCCCAGCTTTGAGCTTTGTTACTTCAGTTTCCAGGTTTAATATTTAACCAGAGAGAACACATTAGCCAATTTCCAGGGCCAAATCCCAAACCAGGTGGGCTATTTTTTCTCAGACGTTTTAATGTGGAAAGATACCATTTAATGTTGACACTGATTAATGGGGTTTCAGGGCGGAAAGAATCGGTAGAATAATCCAGTTTCACGTGGATATTTCCTCTTTAAATACAGTCCTGCAATTCCCCTGAGACAAGGAAGTGTGTGTGTGTGTGTGCCACAATTAAGGGTGACATCATTAACTCCAACAAAGCCTTGAGAAAAACAAACATACCAGGCGCACACACCTCGGGGGACTGTCTACAGTCGGCTGCCGAATGGACCTAATGAAGACAACATGAAGGAATCTGACACACAAGTGCTCTTTATTTGCCTCCATTTACATTCAACGTGCAGCAGGTTGTGGCACAAATTAGCTTGTCGCAAAACTACTTTTGTGCTGTTATCTTGAGGTGCGGTGAGGTGAATTGATTGCCGCGAGTCACTGGGATGACAGCAGCAGTGAGAGGTAATTTATATAATGGGAAACAAGATCGAAAGGTGAACTCCATTTCCTGCTTTCATACAGGGATGTCATGGTTCATTCACTCTGTTTTTTGTCCCTCACACACAAGCGGCAATTATACATGCACATCCCTTTTTTTGTGATTATCCTGCTTTCAATTAAGTTCAAATATTAAAGGGTAATAAGTCTGGTAATATATTAAAAACAATCTCCATGAAAAGACCAAAACCATCAATGCAGCTATCCTGCTAAAAATCAAACCTCTGATCTTACAATGACGTCAAATGAAATACGTGAAACCTCACATTGTGGCTCATTGATGTGTTTTTTAATTCAATACTGAGAATACCAAAAAAACATAAAATCTTTAAAAAGTAATTAGGCACATTAAGGAAGGCATCCAGGTGTTTAATCAAGACGCAAAGGTGTCAGACTTTAGACAATCATCCATCAAATAATGACGTCAAACACAGCACACTTGTGCGTGTTCGTGCCAATATAGATGGAAAATGTAGTTCATAGTTGCTGTTGCCCAAAGCTCATATGAAGCTCCACGGATACATCCCACAAACTGCAGATGACTACTTCTCTTATGTATTGCTATTGTTTAGATTGTTGACTGCTGCCTTCATTTATGTATTTTCAGTTTCATGCCTTTGGGAACTGTGATCGCGAACCACATTTCCCACGTGTACTTGCAAGCTCCGGCACACAAGTGCGCGCTATTTGACGTCATTATAAGCCTTGAGATTCCCCCTCCGTCAAACATTTGCCCCGATGAAGGTCTGAAGAATGGAAGCGTGGCGTTTTTCGTTCAATATCTGAAAGACCAAAGGCTTTGTTTTTCAAGATTTGTGTCCCCCCCCCCCCCAAAAAAAAGGATCGAGATGATTGAAAGTCACTTTTTCATTTTGGTCTTTTCATGGAGCATGTTGACAGTAGAAAGAAATAGATCAATACCAGAGTTAAATGCTTCTCTATAGCTCATACAACTCTCTTAATGCCTTTCAGATAAATCCCAAAGTGCACTGTCATTATGACAACACGAGGCGGAAGGAGAACAAAAATTAAAGATGGAAGGTTTTTACCTGACTCCTATTTTGAAGAAGTCACAAACCAACATGGTAGTGTGGTTTAATGTGATCTCCGTAGTTATTATTCTTCACATATAAGGTTTTAATGCTCATCCCTTCACTTATTTTCAATCTTCATACCTTTCTACTCGTGCCAAAACAAATCCCCAGATGTTATGTATCCCTATCCACCTACACGTAATCTACCTTTCTGTGTATCTTTGAAGGATCAAAGTGATCATGGTGACGCACAAGCCGAGCTCGGCGCCGTTGTTTTCACGCTGAAACGGTGTGTTGATGAAAAGATGAGTCACTGGTTTGATTAAGCCGGAACTCCACAGCAGATCCTGTTGTCATCACGCTCTGTGGATTTATGGAAATCCACAGAGCGAGACAATCACACTCGCTCACACACACACACACACACACACATGCACTCTCTTTGGTGCAGGTGTGACTTACTTCTTAAGCCTGATTGCAAACATAGGGTGTGTGCATTCAGATCCTCATACAGACAGAAAACACATTCTGAAAAGAGCTTTTTGGAGCAGAGACCAGCGTAATAGATTGTGTGATTTGGTTCTTGGAACACACTTGATTTGATTTGTTAACTTCAGAGTAAAGTGGTGAGACTGTTCACCCTGTTGTGGATAAAATGACTTGTTAAATCAGACGGGTTTTCAGTGTGGTTTTGCAGAATGAGCTCGTTTGTTCTCCAGCTTGTGATCCGACTGCTGACTAAACAGCAGCACCACTGTATCTACGAGTCATTTTGGACCAAATGTTCAGCGAAACTTTGACACACACACACACACACGGGCCTCTGCGTGGCCTGGAGGCCGGCAGTCTATCACATTGTGTGACATTGTGCGGTACGTGACATGAAAATGTCAAGTTATCGCTGTGAAGTTTGAAACGAATGAAAAATAGTGAAAAACATATCGAAAATACTTGAAGTTTTGCGAGTAAAAATGAGCAATTTGACCAAAGGCTGTTCAAAACACATGCATTTCTTTAGAAATCAGTAAATGAAAGAAGGCCTTGTGAAAAACATTCGACCCTAGCATCACTATAAACAAAGTCCAGCTACAGAGAGCCACGTTTCAGGCTTGAGAAGAGCACACTATAATTGTGAGACCCATGGCGAGCAATTACAAGCGAAGAGCAAGAGGGATGGAGATAGAAAGGAGTGGGTGAGATGAATAGATACATGTCCAAAGAAAGGGCTAATTTTGGTATCGTCCGGGGCTCTGTTCCACCTCCTGCACTGACAGAGACAAGGAGACAGACACACTAATGGCCTCTCCTGCTGCGTCAACCCTGAGTCAGTCGGAGGATCAGGATTTCATCTCTTTTCTTTTTCAGTTACAGCTGTTGTGGATGTTTCCAAGGTGCTCGGTGCGAGTCTTCCTGGTTCGAGCAAAAAGCCCTGAGGTGTTCATTAGCCGAGGCAACGAGGGCCCCTGGACGCCACTCGCCGAGGCTGTGTTTGCTGCGATGGCGAGGGTTTAAACACCACAGTCCCACAGCGATCGCACACGTTTATGAAGAGGGAGGAAGGGAAGTGTTCGTAAACATGAATTAGGTGTCATGCAGAATCACAGCATCTCTGAAAGGCTCCATTTGCTTGTTGCAAATGACACACAGCTAAAAAAGGCTTTAAGAAAAGGGATTTATTGAAGAAATAAGTAAACAATTGAACGATAAGCAGTGACATTTCACAATAGAACCACTACAAGTAATAGATTTGCTCGCAAGGGTGAAGTAAGGTTTAACTTTGGCAAACTGTGACCTGCAGATTTGCACCGTTGACCAAGAGCAAGGCATAAAATGACCAATTAGACTTTCTAAAATACATCCCCCCCCCCCCCCCTAAAGCTTGAACAGTAGCGTGGCTAATGTTAGCTGACTAGCTAATAGCCCTCTCTATTTCTTTCTGTGTAGTCTTAAAACTCTTTTCTGAAATCCACATGAGAATGAATAATTACACACACCAGTACACAAAGTACCTCACAGCGCACATTTTTGAAAATACATTCCTTTATTTTACAATACAAATATAATAACTGCCAAATAAATGATTTGGCAGGGGAAAGAAATGAGTGAAAAGGTGGGCGTCGCAGTGAAAGTTATTCAGAACTTCACTGAGCGTAACGGTTTACTTAGCGTTAACACACTCTTTTCTTTGCACCGGCTAGCCTCAATTAGTCCGTTTAAGGCACATAAGCAAGCTGCTGATTGAACTAATGTCATGGGCCTGACTGGAAACACAAAGCCTGACCTATGAAATAGGTGATGGAAGGGTGCATTGATGGCCCCTTCGTGGTTCAATCACCAATGATTTTACCTCAACTGGTGTCGTGAAGCTCAAAGTTCAGCTGTGGATGAAAAACTAAGATATCAGTGAAATGTAGAGGTGGCTGTTTACGGTTTTATCCTTTGGTGACGTGCTGAAGATTCTAAATGAATCTTGTGATATACCATTAATGTTTTAGTTACATTATAGAAAGAAAGAGAGTCGTCTGTGTACATGAGTCTGATGATGTGTTGTGTAAACATACATACAATATTCATCCTGTTTTATCCCGATGAAATCAACGATGACACATTAAGTTATAAATAAGGGCCGCTTCCGCGTTCCTGCTCCGAACAACAACGTCCAGTTTCCCCTCTAACAATAAAACAAAAGCGACGCGGGTGAAGATATTATAAATAACAAACAGAAGACGAAATAGAGACAAAAACATGGGTATAAAAAAAATGTATATACGTGATGACCTTTACTCTCTCGTGAAGAGACAACGAGCTACGGCAAGGACTGTGAGTTCACAAAGGAGATATTGACTCTCTGCTCTTGCGATGCTCCAACATGTGATACATTTGATTATTAGTAAATGCCTGTACTCAGGCAGTATGGACATGGCAAAGCAGTGAGTGAGCACATGCAGGCCCTGTTAGGACCGAGGAGTGTTGAACACACTCGATGCATAACAGGCTGATATTCACAGTCTACACAACTTTTCTTATTTGTGGCGTTGGAAAAGTTGCCTCCTTCATACGGCCGACATTGTCTTCTGTCAGAGTGACAGAAATAAAAAAAAAATATATATTTTAAAGTTCAAAAGTAGATCTTTACTTTCCATTTTCTTTTAGCAGTTTTCCTTCATTCGTTCCATTTTCTGATTTAAAAACACCGGAGGTGTAATTCAGAACATCCTGTCAGGTCGTATTCGTGTCTGTGAGGTTTTTTTTTTGGTTCCGTCACTCGCTGTCCTCCCCGGCGGTGGCGGCCTCCAAAGCAGCAAGAGCCTCCGCCACCATGGACTCCGTAACGCACTTCTCCTCCTCCTCCTCGTCCTCGTCCTCGCTCTTCATCACCGAGATCCCGCTCTCAACGGTAGAAACGTCCGGGTTCTTCGGGAGTCTGCGCTCGTCCTTGGTGTCGGCCGAAGACATGCTGGTGGTGCTGGTGTGGATCTCCACTGACAGGACGCTGCCCTCGTCCCCCGTGTCACACGGGTACTCCGGCGTCCCCCCCACGCCCTCGTCTATCTCGTCCGCCGACAGGCCTTCGGTGCCAATCACCCACTCGTCCCTCGCCGTGCTGCGGTCCCGCTCGCCGTCGCCCCTCTGGTTCACGTACTCCCGTAGTTCGGGGTAAACCGGCACCTGGCTCGGCCCTCTGTCTTGAATCCCCCATCTCGGTCCCAGAGCTTCCGGCTGGATGATGTACAGGCCTCCGTCTGCGGGTGGCGCGCTCCCCTGCATGTTCGGCTCCTTGGCAAGTGGAGGTGCGGCGTGCAGCCGGTGGTTGACGTGGTTGTTGTCCACCTCGAGTTTCAGCGTGCTGCCGTTGGACTGGCTGTAGCCCAGGTTGTTGAAGCCCTGCTTCTGCTCGCTGAGGCCTCCGAGCTGGTGGCTGCCGGGGAGGTGGTGGGGCCGGTAGAGCGAGCTGGCCGCAGAGTCGGTCTTAATCACGTCCACCATCTCAGAGGGGTCGTAGAAGCTGTGGAAGAGACAGCAAAGAGGATTGAGATGTGACTGGGCTCCAGGAGTCGGATGTTCCCATGACTCATCAATAAAAGAAAACCCTTAGATAGTGTACACTGACGGCAACAAGGATACTTCCTCGTGCGGTCGATGCTCCCTTTCTAAATGCCAATGTTTCGTCTCAGGCATGCGAGCGCTTGATGTTTACACAGACTGCATCTAGCCGTGGCTGTGGTGGTTGTTTGCACTGCTCGTGTGAATGTCAGATATATTATGCAGACAGTTGTTGAAAGAAGGAGAGAAAAGTGGATATGGAGGTGATCTCGGGCCTCTGACTGCACTCTCCTCACTCCCACTCTGGTTCAAATTTTTTAAAAACTGACTTCTGCTCTCAGATGCTGTGGTGTGTGTCGTTGCCGTCTCCTGGCTCTGGCTCCACGCTTATCACAAAGATATTCGTTTCATTAAAACATTTCGGAAAAAAGAGGCAGAATCCTCTATTAATGAGGTCAACTTAAAGTTTTGTTGAAGCATATTCCAAGTATGTGGAGTAAGAAATGAGAGTGGCATCAATCTTCTGATCTAGACAACTCTTGCAAAGCAGACGAGCTCTTTTTCCACATTTAACTGCTTTAAAGCAGACTACTCTTGGATGCTATCTTATTCAGGATGATAATAATAACGTTAGTTTTTTTTGTACGGAGGAAGCTGATGACACTGGATCGTCCCCGAGGCTCATAGATTTTGACCTGGATTTTCTGTCCCCGCAAAATGAGCTGTTTCCTGCTGTGAGAAGACGCTCATCAGCATAAATTACAGTAACAAGGTCGTAACAAAAATACTTGTGATGATCGAAACCGAAGGGACAAAAACAAAACGGGTCGCTGATTATGTGCCATGTCTGTCGAAGTAAGAAAAACAAAAACAATAAATGCTAATAAACACAAATAAATTCACTTTTTTTTCGACAAATAATGAACCCTAGTTATATGCCACATAGTTCAGCTCATTAGGATGAGTGACAAACACTGATTGCAAAAAAAAGGGGGACATGTTCCCCTGCAAACCAGCACAAAAACAGTCCATCCTCAATCAGATAAAGGAAAAGCGCCGCTGATGTATTACTTGGCATCGGCGTGAGATCTGCTCGCTCCTCATGCTGAGTCTTCTGCTGTGTAAATCACAGGCCGCCGTACGCGCTGCCAGAGATCTGTCGATGTTGTCCCGTTCCTCGTAGGATGGTCGATAAAGGCCTGAGACTAATTAATGCTCATTTAAGCCCGACACCTTAAATAGCCCCTTGTGGAGGCTGTAATGACTGCCTGAAAACCCCATTTTGGAGGATTTTCTTAAAAGGGTATATAAGCACAAGATCACACACACACATGCGCGCCTCGACAGCTATTAGGAGTGTTGGCATGTGGGCTTTATTGTGCGGACAGCGTAACAGGTTGTCAGACATCACCTGCTGCGAGAGCCTCATGTTTTTCCTCTTCCATCTCTGCGCCCTTTCATTTGTTTTTTTTCTCCTCCACCCTCTCTCTCCATCTCCCACCTCGCCACACACACACACACACACACACACACCTCCTCCTGGTTGTCTCCCTGTGAGGGAGTCATTGTAATGTCGTTGCAGCTCACTAATCTACTGTCCCTTTTACACTTGACTTCTCCTTGATTTGAGCGCCGTCCCTCGAGCTTCTTTTTCCAATCTATCGTCTCACTCGCCGCCTCCTCCTCCTGTCTCAAGTTCTTCGCTCTTCTTTTCTGTGCTCACTCTGTGTTTTTTTTTATCTTGCCCCCGTCCCCTTTTGGCTCTTACTTAACACTGTTTTGGTATTCATGCACTTAACAAGAAGTCCAGAGATGTAAAACTTTCAGATCAATGAATTTATTCAATAGTAGTTGTTTTTTCTCCACTCCTGGCAAGCAGACACAAAAACATCCCCCGCCTACACATTTATATTCCCAAGCTAACACACACTCATGTTCACCCTCTCACTTAAGCACCTCTCTCGCTCACCCTGCGTCCTTCACAGTGAGAAAGCTGAGAAAATGAATGTTTTCCATTTCTCTCGCTCCTGGGCAGCGCCGCCGCTGTGCCAAGGTGAAATTAGAGGCTGGCTTTCATGAGAGCCAGACAAACACACCCACACCCACCCACACACACACACACACACACACACACACTCACTCACAAGGTGTTTTACAAAAATAAGACCAATGATTTTGAAAAAAGCCGGACAATAGAGAGAAAATGAAACTGTATTTTCATCCACGCCAGGAGGTCGTACATTCTTTCCCCCCAAGCTATTTTCAAAGAACAGACTCAAACTTCTGGCTGCCATTTTTCTGTTTTTTTTTTGGTGAATTGCATGAACACAACACAACAGACACAAAAAAAGGCAGCCACAATGTGTGTGAGTGTGAAATCAAATGACTTCTACCTCGATAGAAGCAGCGTCTCCCCAGCGTTTGGCTCATATTTTAATACCAGGACTAGTTTTGCATTCGAGTAGATGCTGCCGATGCCGGGGAGTTCCTGCTCTCCCGTCTCCGTCGGGCTTCCCTTTCTGCGGCGTTTTGTTTATGCTTAAGAGGTTCTTTGAGAAGCACAGCCATCCCGGTAGAAGCCGTTATTTGCATGTTTTAACTGTGATGGTGCACCAGACAAGATGCTGTTTAGGTCAACTCACTTCTTGTACTATACGCAGATTTAAGCAGATTACATTGGTTGAAATATATTTCAGTGGTGCCTATGGATTTTGAAAACAATAAAATGTATTGTTTTATTTTATCATAAACATATTTACCAGTTTTCAAAATAAACCCCAAAAAAATCAGCCTAAAGTTTGTTTGGAATGTGTGAGTGTCAGGCTACCGAGGCTGCACTTTTGACCCAGTAACCTACAGGCCCACGCTGCCAAACCCCAAACACAACTAAGCCCAGAAATGTGACACTGCAGACAATTAGGGAGGTATGTATGTATGTGTGTGTGTCACAAGCATTGACATGTGTGTCTTTGACATGGGAAAGTGGGAGTGTGGAGGGGGATTACGACTCTGGTATGTGTATTACAGCGCGCCCTTTCATTAATCTGCAATCAAAATCTCATTTCCCCGGCCCTGTTCCGTCTCCTAGTTCACCTCAAACAGCACAATGATGTGGAGCCCTGACTACGATGCCTTGTAGGCTTTAATGAATAGACAGCCCTGAGAGGAAATACAGTAACCAGGGGTGATGGCTATTGGCATATTGACTCACAGTTTGTACAAAGAGCCCACGTGAGACTGAGAGTACAGAGATATTATAAATGGGCCGCTCACTGTCTGCATGGAACAAGACGTGAAATCGTTATGTGGGTAAGGAGACGTCTGAATTGGCACTGTGGAGATCTACAGTGAGGGGCGATTACCGAGGAGGTGGACTGTGCTCCTATCCGATGAATTAGTGCTTAAAATATGAGTTGATTCATTTGAACGATGATGCTGAGAGAAAAACATTTTTCAAACAGTCTTGCTTTGAGCTTAATGCTAACGTCAGCATGCTAATATGCTCACAATAACATACTGATAAGCAGTAGTAATGTTTTTTAAATTTAGCGTGTTAGCATGCTAACATGTAGTACAGCTGAGGCTGATGATGGATGTAGTTTTTGCCGGTGATCCAGTACAGATACCGACTCAAACAGCTGGATCGGGTATCGGTGACAATGAGGCAGATGTATTCAATCCTTATGTTTACGTCTGATTACACTACGTCATGCATCAGCAGCCCGGCCGTAGACCGCACAGCTGACGGAGCTTACAACAAACGCGTCAGCTGTTTTGGAGGCTTTTCGCGCTCTCTACGTCAACAAGTTCTACGGCTACTCGCAATATCTGCAAAGCCGACGTTTCACTGGTGGCAGTAGCGCCGCAAAATATAACAAAACCAACTTCATCAAGCACGTCCTGAAGCATCATGATGAAGAAGTCAAACAATTTTGAGTTTGCTTCATGGTGCATGATGCATGATTTATAAACAATTCAGTAAATCTATGTGTTTATATCTTATATTTAGTTTTACAAAATTGGTAAAGCAATGTGTAAATCAGGCACGATGTTGCATTGCACACAGTGAGGAATACAGCGTATTAATTACAGGGACAGTGTTTCTGGACATTGATGGTGCTGTTGAATTTCTTTGGTGTACTTTATTCATATTTTTTCAATATTGTGAGTGCCACAAATATGTCATTTTGGGTGAACCAACTGCTTTAAATCACTAAAAACAAGAGATTGTATCCCAAGAAGGGTCCAGAAACAAACAAACAAGAAGAGGTAATGACTCACCTTTTTAGCATCCTGCAGCATTGGCACCCCATTTGGCCAGCTGTGTCGTGGAGCTGTGGAGGGACATTAACAAAGACATTAAACTTTAATCGCACAGAAACCCTTTCGACTGAACCAGCACACACACAAAATGTAAAGCGACAAATCTTCTCTAGCGTGCACATATTGTGTTCAGCGGGTGTCACTTTTCCCATCAATGTGCGAGTCAAGCTCATCAAGTCAATGTTACGGTTAGCTCCGCAGCCGCTGGTACGACGACACACCCACTTTGACAGAGTCCGAGACCGCCGTCGATCAGACAGTTCACCACCTCTGACATGCGAGTGTTTTTTAAAAATGTGCGCTCTCACTCAAAGATTGCTCCTCATCAGTCAAGTTCTGGCTTTGCCCTTGGTCCTGATGGTATTTGGACACGAGGATGAAAACTCTGTCTGCCTGCAGCACCGATAAAGATGTTATTGCCATCCATCACTGTTGTGTGTGTGTGTGTGTGTGTGTGAGTGTGTATCGTAGGGTGTGTATCTACGTGCAGGATGGGAGTGACCTTTTCTCTCCTGGTGGTGTGTTTCTCTCGGCTGTGGCATTTCATTGCCTGGGTAAATAATTAATCGCCGGGTCTTGAATGGGTTTGTCTGCGAGCGAAGGAGGAGAGAGCGACACAGATAGAGGACACAGTATCTCTTTGTGGAATAAAAGCAAGGATGTGTGCCCACGAGACAAAACGGCTTCTATTCTTAACCTTGGATCTGTGACCCTGCAGGTCTTTGCTTTACCTTTTAGCTGGATCTTTGAGCAGAATGGGATGAGTGATATAGGTTTTGGGTGCTAGATTAGGCTGTATTAGGAAACTATGACGTCACAGGCTTTAGTTATGCGGTGGGAATTCATTTATCTTTAGTCCTGGAGGGAACGAGCTAAGAGGTCCGGGTGGGCACACGGTGGGCAGACCGATATAAAGACGGGCCTGCTGCGTTATGTATTATTACAAGCAATACCGTGACCAGAGCTGCGAACAGTCCACAGCCAGAGGTGGGTGTGTAGTCGCTGCGGATGCAGACAAAGTCAAACTCGGACACGGAACAAACTCAAGAGTCCGATCCTCTCGTCTTTGAGTGTCCTCTGTTCACTCGTTGTCCTTCACAGAAGCGATCTCTTGTGATTTGAGGTTGAGCTAGACTGTAACCGAGCTGAAACACTTCCGCTGGGACCTCCGAGGCAACATTCACAGCTACTTCTGGAAAAGACGAGAGGGGGCGTACCGATGGCAAGTGCAATTCAGAGCGCACCGGTGGGTTCGACGGGCTGTGCTTTAAATAGAGGAAGCCTGTTTTACACTCTGTTGCACCGGCAAGCACCCACCCAGCTGAAGTGTCCCTTATCTTCAGGACGGGGGGGCAAGAGAGGAGGTGATTTCCCAGCGGGCGTTGGGAGCTATAACATTAATGGGGTGTTGTATTAGTCCCGGAAGAAGTCGCTATCTGCTGACTTTTACTATTACTAGTCACTAGGTCAATAATCACCTGACAAGCTGCAGCTCTCAACCCTCTGATCGCTCACGCTGATTTCTCCATCCCCCTCCCCCTCCTCCTCCGGTTCCTTGTTGAGCGGTGGCATTTTCCTGCCTTGTGCATTATGTATATTCCATATCTCAGTGATATGCCTCTGCTGCTTTCTGCTCTCTATTCTCTCGGGGGTGATTTAATGTGCTCGCGGAACGCTTGGATTTCTTTGGGGAGCATCCTCAAGCTCAGAGCCCGCTCTGCCAAAGTACAGACTGCATATCTATTCGTTGAAATAAATGGTCCTGAAGCGCGTGACATAACCACCTCCCGACTAAATTGTTTTGAATTAATTATGTATGAATAAGTTTACTCCCTCCCTGGCACTATGTTTTCACTACAGATAAAAGAAAAACACTGTGACGGTCCATGGATTATGTGTTGTGACAGGGAGACAAACAGTTCAATTAAGCAATAACGTACTTCATGTTAAACGACTCACTCCACATATTTCTTAATAAAATTATCAAATGTGGTCACACGAAGGTTAGAGGCGCACAAATGAAACCAGATCCTCCATCCTCATTTTACAATACAAACCGACAACAAATACAAAACAAACACAAACATGTAGCACTAAGATGTGCCATCTATAATAATTTATTTCCCAAAATTAGGGGCGGATTTGCAATTTTATTTAGCCATATCTGCCTCATAACATAAAAAAACGTGTATTAATTATACTGTCAAGACCGCTAAAAGCAAATATTATGAGATAAGCCATCGAGAGTAAAAGAGAAAATGGCACAAGATGATCTTTCCAAGAGTATTCACCCCTGCGGTCCAAACCCATGACTTTCCCTCTCATGTGTCAAATCATGGGAATATATGACGCTTTGTTGAGGCTGAAAGTCTCGAACACAAGGTTAAGGCCAATAAAAACTGAACGTGGCAACCAATTTGTGGCAGCAATGTGATGACTAGTAGACTATTTCATATTTAAGACACTCTCCTTCATCTCACATACGTCTGTAAACTCCATGGAACTGGCTTATAAACGATACAAATTCAACATCTGTTCCAACACACAGTCACACAGGCTGACAAATAGGTTGTGCCGACTGTGTCGGAAAAAAAGCTGGTTTGCATCGGCGTGGAGTTGGGTTGCGAATTTGCAATGCAAAGCGCCGTCTCCGGGTTGCCTGAGTGCGGGCAGTGTGACTGTAGTGCTGCCGGCCTCGGGGCCGAACCATTCTGCTGCTGGTTCAGCAGAAGCAGCTGGCGGCCACGCAGAGGAGAACTGGTCCCGCAGGGCCGAGGTGACGCGGCGCCGTCTTAGCTCAACGGCCTCCGAGCAACGAGCACGCCCATGAGTAGCTATAGTCACAACTAAGTGGCATTAGCATTAAAAGTCAATGACAACTCCCAAGAACTCCGCCTGAAGAAAATGACAACACGACTGAGGAGGCGGGCTGAAGCTGTGGCTCCAGTGTGGCTCCTCAGCAGCTGCCATCTACGCCACGCTGTGTTTGCAGAGTAAATAGCGATAGCTGCACAGAGAGAAGTGGGGAAACCAGTGTGGTGTGTTTTAGGATTCATCTTTGGGATTAGGGATTACCACGTGGCCGTAAATGTCAGATGCGAAGTCGTAGCTGCAACTTTAAAGACCCAAATCTGAGACTTGAACCTGACCCGAGAAATCTGCTGATTATTTTCCTGATTTAACCAATTGATGGTTTCGTAGATGACGTCTTTAAATAGCTTGCTTTGCCCGACCAACAGTCATAATCTAAAACATACTCGGTGTATCATCACACGAGACAAAGAAAAAGCAACAAATTCTCCCATTTTTTCCCACAAGTGACCCACAGCAGCCGACTCAAAAGATTCGCACCGGAAACATCCAAACGACCAATCACGTCGCTCCCCTGGAGACTCTCCAAAGTCATGATGAGATCGAGGATTCAATCTGTGCATCAAATGACGATCGTTCATTCCGATATTGCCCATTGTTGGCCGACAATAACAGTGCATTATCTGCTCCCTGTGCCGGTCAATACATTATATACGGCTCCTGATTTTTTTTTACGATAGGAGAGATCGGAGGACGATCACTGAAGGGGAGAGATATTTTCAGCGCCGGCAGCTTGGCTGGGCTCCCATTTCATTTATCTTTTTCCTGCTTTCAGAGTTTTCCTCCAGAGTAAATTGAAACATTTCATCTTGGAGAAACAGGTGCAATAAAAGTGAGATTGCTGTAGAGTGTCCCCTAAAAGTGGCCTGGGTTGAAATCCCGGGGATACCCGTGGAACCGACAGCCAGAGAGCCTGATTGCTGCAGGTGGAAACTTTCATCTGGAAAGATACGGCTTGAAATAATTCTTCCTCTGGATGGAGTCCAGTTGAAATTGATGTTACCTGTGAAGAGTTTTGTCTGAAAACTGGAGTCATTGGGGGAGGAGTGGTATTTTCATTATAACACTTCTGATATATATATATGTCCAATTTTCTCCCCAGGTGCTGTACAGCAGCCCACTGCTCCTGATCATTACAGATCTAAGTTTATATGAAAGGTTATTACAACCATGGCCAATGAGCTGCATTGAGTCGTACTGGTATGGGAAATATACTACTACTAATGAAGTAGTGCTATATTAAACTGTATTGAATGGTTACTTCACACTATTGTTTTTTGTATTGTATCACAAAATGATACATTTTTGGTGAGAAACACAGAATGTAGAAAGACAGAGAAAACACAGGGCAACTTAAATGTAGAGGAAATACATTTAAATAGGTTTTTTGATCTCCGGCCTCCTGAAAACACACTGTGACCTCCCTGAGACGGTCCTCCTTCAGTGTCGCACATCTGATACCAGTTGTTTTTGTCGGATCCAACACTGTGAAACTACTTACAGGTAGACGAGGTTTAGAGACAAAAAAACCCGAGCTGAAACACCGTTAGATGCTTGCTAATAGTTCACGAAAATGCCTTTTCTCTGATCTGCTGACAGTAACTGAATGCTCAGAGTTGAGTTGTTGCCTGAGGTGTGTAGATATGAATATTTCTGGTGAACCGCTCAACAAAGAAGACGAGTCTTTCACAAACATGACCCTTCTGGTCACCTGATTGAGCCTTTCTGCCTATGTGTTACATTAAAGCCATCATTTATATCTGGACACCCACTGGGCCAGACTGTGTGTGTGTGTGTGTGTGTGTGTGTGAAGGGACGGTGAGAAGGGAGATCGTGTTCATGTGGACATGGGAGGGGTGAGGTGATGGAAAAATGGGCTAACCGGTCTGACATCCATCTGACTGTCTGTTGTTTTTGTGTAATTCTCCTTCATCTGTTTTTCCGTTATCGACGGCGTGTTTCGTCACATTCAGATTTCCCGTTATAGACAAAATGATTATCCCATTATTGAAGTAAATAATCTGCAGATTAATCAATAATGAAAATAATCCTGAGTTGTAGCTCCAGACTGATGCACTCTGCCGCCCAATTTATTTTCGCGGCAAAAACTGAAGTGAAAATGATTGTTTTTTGGTATTTGTATGTGCTCACTACAAGGTAATGTGTCACGACTTACAGGTTGTCTACGCTACACTGCGTTTCTTCAGTCGTTGGTCTCATGCGCGTTTGACACAATGGCGTGTGTTTCACTTGTTTTTTTTGTCGTTTATTTACTGTTTCCTGATGTGTTTTTTGCCTCCAGCACTGCCAAAAATGCAGGTGACCTACAACAAGTAGCGCACTTGAACGCGGCCCGTGTCGACATTGTGTCACAACCCAAATTTCAGCAGCAGCCGCCTTTTTTTTCCACCACAAATCCTCTCATCCGATTCCCAGCATGCCGGGTCTCAGGGTGGAATGAGTGTGGGGTCTGCATTCAGACAGGAAGTGTGTGAACGAGAGGCAAACATCCATCAAGCTGCTCCGACAGACGACCAGAGGAAAATACTTCCGGCAGTTGATGATTTTAACATATGATAAAAAAAAATACTTGGCATTAAAAAAAGTTTTTAGCTTCTAAATTGTGAATATTTTTATAGTTTTCTTAGTGTTCGGTGACAAATAACAGAATGTTTTGGGGTTAAGATTATGATGCTCTGGTACAGTGTGATAGGATATCTTTGACATTTTACCAACCAAATTGATTAATCAGCATAATAACAGATAATGAAAACAATCTTCAGCTGCAGCCATAATGACATGTTTCGAAAAACAAATGTCACAGAGGGGGGAAAAAACACACGCTTTGGAGCAATGAGTCTAACTTTGAAAAATACATCTTTAAGTGAAGATGTTTAAATACAGCAAGTGATTAGTATCAGCCAATTCTAATGACGGTTAATCAGAAATCAATACCTGTCTCAAAAGCCCTGATTGTGGCTTCCATATACATAACAATCTGCATGATGAATTACCTTCCAGAGGGACCAATAGACGGCTACTTCTTCCTACAATAACATGTTTCAATACTTACAAATGCCCTTGCTTAGTTGGTTAATAAGATCTTTGTTTAATAACTAATGCCATCTGAATTTCAAACATCATAGCTCCTCATTTAATCTCAACATGTAGCCTTGTTTTTGTGACATACCTTTTCTTTCCTCCTGGTGCTCGAATCAAACAACCAAATTCCATCGGGCTGCAGGAGGCTCTTATCTCATAAATGTGCACATGAACAGTAAGTAGAAAAGAAAAGAAAAGAAAGCGAAGCTATTATCGACAGGATTTCCTTGAAGCCCCCAGCGACCAGCGTGACCCTCTGCATTTCTCTGCTGAGAGAGAGAACCGCAGCATTCGATAAGGTGCTCGATTTAGGCCTCTTATCGGCTCCGAAGGCTTTTAAAAAAATCCAGCATGAAAAATGTCAATAAAGAAAAAAACCCGGCACTGTCTCACCCACTGCTTTACCCGGCTTTTTAATAACCTGCATATACAGTAGATGAGATAACCTTCCACACCTGATAACGCTTCCCATAAAAGAGCTCGGACCTATTCATGTGATTGACGGTGTTGTGCAACTTTTTTTCAGTTTGCGGCTCGCACAAAGAAACGCTGTTCTTTGACTTCAAACAGAAGGAAAAGGAAATAAAGTCATAAGAAGACTTTCGATTTGACTGTCGGATACGTGTGCATGACGAGTAAACCTGGCGGGATTATGCAAGTTGATCCATGGTGAAGCTGTCACGTGCGACCAATTGATATATATATATATATATATATATAAGTCAGCCCTCGTTAAAGATCCGTCTACGGCCACCGCTGTTGTTTTATTCAAACTAGTCGATTTGTACGTTTTCGGGAGGTCAATCTAGTGACATGATATTGATCAGCTGCTCCAACATTTTGTCTGGAATGTCAAAAATAACCTCCTTTGATTTCAGGCGATGTCACGAGGCCAAGTGTGTGTTGTTTCTGTGGACGTGATATGATGGATCCAAACACACTCCTCAGACGGCCTTGGGCTGCAGTTTGACGAAAACAAGTCCTGTCTCCTCTCTATTACCCAGCAGCCCACACTTATCAATAGCCCCTCCCCTTCCTCTGTCTCTCACACTGCAAACAGACCTGCTGCCCCCCCATGAATCATACCCAGGAGCTCTGAATTGTGCTTTAGGCAAGTAAACAAGCCTGAAGAAGAGAGCACTTTTAAATGATAGAGAGCCGGTGATGTAGTGGTAAATAAAGAGGCCAAATACATCTTCAAGTTGATTCTTTAACATTCAAACGATTGTTGTGTATACAAAACTTGTAGTTTCTTATCCAGGTTTGATACTTGTAAAAATTAAAGGTAGTATGAATATATAAATCAAAAAAATGGGGGAAAAATGGGGGCGTCTTTACTCAAACCTTTATATTTTTCATTTCACCGAGGACTCGGAGTGCCTCGTACTATTCCCACAGCGCTGAGCTCCATTCTCATGTTTACATCTTGCTTCAGGTTGAGTCATCCTGCGGGAGCAGAGCAAACTGGACCTTGGGCAAATATTATTTGCATACGCTTTTAGTGACTCCTTTTGTCTAATAGGCTTGGCACATGGGCCACGTTTGCCACGAAAGTGCAGTAAATGGGTTCGGCAATCCGTGGCTCGGTGTCTTGTATAAATCAAGTGTCGGGAAAGTTGTTCATCAAACCTGCCTGGAGCTAAAAAAAACAATTTACAGGTGAGAAACCCATTTTAAGAGACACTTGATGTATTATAGTTGCTTATACACGAGTGTTAACAATATATTTAGGAATGTTGTATGTGATAAATGAGAGACGGGACCGGTTTGGGCTCAGGCATCAGGTTTGTATGCTCTTTTTTTAACCCAGAGTTCAGTGGGGCTACGTGTTGCACGTGCAAACAAAGCCCAAGGCCATGGACATGAGCGCTGGTTAACTGATTCGAGACCACTCCTCCACCTCCTCCACCTCCTCCGCTCCATCCCAACAAAGAACAAATGTCCCCAATAACAGCCCCTCCCCCACTCACTCATTAACTTCACCTGCCCGAGCACGAGCAGTGTTGAAATATTGATACGGCAAATATTCCGGTGATTGGTTATTCGTTTGAGTCACTTTTTAAGTAAAAATGACAAACTTTTGCTGCTACCAGCTTTATAAATGTTGTTTTTTTTAGGTTTATATTATTATAAATTGAATATCTTTGGGTTTTCTGGAGCGTAAATCTGACTTTTTTCACAATTTTTCATACAAATCACTGAATTAAATGATCTGTGAAGAAATCAATGAATAACTTACACATTGCGGGTATCTCACAGGTCAATTTCTGTGAATCATTATTCAACTCCACACGTGTATTTATTAAATTGTTTGAGTTAATATCTTTTGCCTTCACGTGCAACAGGTGTACAACAGGTGTACCGACACATCTCCATTGTTAGTACAACACCTGTAGGGTAACCTAATACTTTGTGTATCCTGGTAACTACCTTTTATTTGTAAAATATCGTGAAGTTATTGTAGTATTTCTTTGTTTTTCAAAGCGGACAGATGCCATATGGTTGACATCACTACTCGACATCACCTGTTGCTGTGAACAGTCGAAGCTGTGTTTAATAAAGCATTAACAACACTTTTTTTTTTTACAATCTTTAAAGTTAATTAAGAGCATTATGTTGCATTTAAACAAGCCAGAAAGAATAGCAAATTGCTGTTTCGACCTACCTGTTGCGCTAAGCGAAGGTGTGGCACTTTGCCCCAGGTATCAGAAATGCACGGATAACTTCAGCTGTCATTTAAGTTGTCTCTCTTCCGGTCCGGAGTAGAAATTAGAAATGCATGTGAAAAAGTAGCGGCTCCATAACACATCTTCAGCTAGATATGATTTCCTTCCTTTTGGTTTGAGTTGTTGTGGAGAAGAGTTCCCCCCCCCCTCGGTGACTCCGCAGTCCCATGTCTCCTGTTTGAACAGCGTCTAATGGTTAGTTAACCTGGGAGAGACTGGTGGACCAGTGTCAAGCTGCACGTGGTGGACTACAACCGTTTCCTATTAAAACTTTCAAAATAAAACTTATGAACCCTGACAAAAAGTAGCCTACTTTATTTACAATATGTATCGATTAGAGTTTACGAAACTACGCAGTGGAGGAATTTTTGATGTACTTTACTAGAGTATTTCCATTTTCAGACTACTTTATACTTTCACTCCATTTCAGAAGCAATTATTTTACTTTTCACTACATTTATTTGATAGTTTAAATTCCTAGTTTATTTGCAGATTTAGATTACTAAATCACAATAAGATAAACCCCACTTTAAAAGCTGCTTAACAAGTAAAAAGAGTTTAAAGAAGTTAAAACACAACAAATAAAAGAAAAGTACCAATTTGATGTATGTATGATAATTATTTGTAGTGTACACACACAACCTGAGAAGGGGGGTTGCTTAATTTTAAGTCATCACAAACAAAAACGGTTGGGAACCTCCCTGTAAACATGAAGTATCCACCTAATGAAGGTTTTATAAGAAGAATAAGGTTTCTAAACAAGCAGCTCGGCATGAATTGCCTTCTAAATTATGAATGTCTGGTTAAACAATTATGATAATTACCATCTGGGGGGGTCATAATTTACCCACATGGATATTTACAGAACACCAGCAAGAGCGTGAGGCTTTAATAAACTTGACTTCCTGTCATGACTTGTCAAATTGAAACCAGCTTGACTCAGCTTAACCTGACCAACCTCTTCTCAGTTGATCATATGACTTGGATGCGATTAGAGTGGAATCACCCCTTAACACACAAGTTGGCTTCAACCCAGAAAAGGAAGAAAAAAAGAGAAAAGTCCCTGAGACTGACACTAACTGCACTGTATGAATTATTTTATATAAAAATGTAATGGAACCAAACTTTAAAGCTGAATTATGCATTGAAAGTGTTCCTGAACAACGCATTATTTTGCTGTTTTTTACGACTTCATATTACTTCCCTGAGGGTTGACACACAACTGAAGAACCGGTTTGAGTGTTTACAGATGCAGGGACATAACATTTTTATTTGGCACCGCCTCATGAAGCTGTTCCTAATGATAACATGCAGTGTAAGGGTTAAAGAGGATTATAGTTTTTGGCGCCATCTTGCTTTGGGTTGTGCGTTACATTGGAAATTATGAATTGTTCAAAAAAACAAGTGGAATTCTCCTTTAGCTGCAAACTAATCTTAATACCATCTCTTACTGCAATAGGTGTAAATGCGAGCGTGTGTGTGTGTGTGTGTGTGTGTGTGTGTCACCTTGTTTTTCCTGTATAAACACTTTTCCCTGACAACAGTATGTGAGGGTATGAAACATTTTTCAGAGACCGGCTTTTTGGAAAAAGAAAACACTGTGAATATCATTGAATAACTCAGGAGATGTTTTCCTGCTCGGTTGACAGGATGGCGGCTAACATTCTGGCGGAGACACAAAACATGACAACAGCGTGACACGTCAGAGGCTCTTCTACATCTTCAAAGATACGTCCAGTGGTGCCGCATAAATACTGCTTCTGCTCCGCTGCTTCCTCCTTTATTACATTTTTCTTTTTGCATCAAAGCTCTTGTGAAAGAATGAAACACAAAGGAAAGAGAGTTGCCAAAATATCATACAGACTAATTGAATAGTTTAACATTTTATGAAATACATTTACTCGCTTTGCTGCAGAGGGAGATAAGAAGATGCCTCTCTTATTTGTCTGTAGCCAGGAGACTGTTAGCGTAGCAGGAAGACGGTCGCAGGAAACACACAACCTCCAGTAAAACCACATCTTGCTAGTTTTACACTTCAGTTTTTTTTTTTTCAGATCAAACAAAGATATATTAATATTTATGTTAATATGGGTGCTTAAAAAGTAATGGTGGGTAGATTTTAAAACCCATTTGGGCTTGGGGTGTCACTGATAGGTATTTTGAGTGTAATTAATTTCCCTCCAAAAAAAAAGAAAATGCACAATAAACAAAGTAAAAGATGAATTTGACTTCTAGTGTGAATATCATTCACGAAGACATCATGATGTTGTTTCCATGAATACTTTTGGCCGTAACAATCTTGCAGTAAAAAATCTGATATCGTGACAGCCCTACTTTGGAATGTGCCAGGCCAGTTGTTTCCCCCTGCTTCCAGTATTTATGCTAAGCTATGCTAATCGCCTCCTGCCTGCAGCATCAAATTTGCCGTACATGAGAGTGGTATCAATCGAACTCTTGGCAAGAAAGCGAAGAAGCAGACTGATATGGTCATGGAATTCGAAATCGTAAAAATTTCCTTTTTTTTGGCAACTCTCAGGAGGTTCCCGTCTATGTTGGTTTAAAAGTTTACCTCCATCTGCTGATGATCGCAACTAAACAGCTCCTGAATAGACTGTGTGGTAAGATAGTTTTCGAGAATATACTTTGAGCTTGCTAAAGAAATCTTTACAATGACAACAACAAAAGATTATTCAGGGATTCAGAGAAAGGTTAACTTTGTCGTTTTGACCTTTTCTCCAACTCAAATAACAAGAAGTAATTTGAATATTTCTCTTGGGTATACATGACCTCAGACTAAATCTCAATGCTCGCCATCTTTGTCATTTTAATGATCCTTCATACCAAAAGGCGATAACGTCGTTTCGTAGTCAAACATTCCTGAATATCCTTATTGTTGGGCTTCAGCGGTGACGTGTCAATCGGCAGAAAAATAACTGGACTTTGTGTACTGAGTCATTCCTCGACTGCCTTTAAAATAGTCTCATTGTCTAAAATCTAAAGAGAAAGAATTAATTAATTTTATTGATTTACTGATCAGTAAAGAACATCACATTGGATTAAACATTTGTGCAAGAGCTTTTAACTTCCATTGTCTGTTGCCCTCACCATGTTAAATTTCCTCCTCTGTCCTGAGCGTTCACATGAAAAACAAAAACAAATTCAGCAGCGCAGAGTGGACGCTGTGATCTCTTCTATCTCCGACAAACAGCTCCCGCTGTTCACCTGAAATCAAAATACAGAGCAAAGAAGCCTTCACATATCGACGTCTCTCCTCCCAGCGTGATTCAGAAGAATTAGGTCAGGGCTTGTTGGTAGTTGTCTCTCCAAACTGGGGTCTAGTGTTGAGGCAATGGGGGGGGGGGGGGGTGTGGGGAAAGAATACAAGATAAAAAGGGATGAAATGAGCCACGATTGCTTCTCAGGGACTGGATTTGTTGTAACTCACCTCACATGCGAGGAATGGTACTTTGTCAAATGTAAGCTTTGTCTTTGAGCAGCCTAATGTTGGTGTGATTTCCCCCTGTGCAAACATCCCGTATTTAGGAAAAGGCAGTTTGTCACAAACACGCTAGTACTCCAACAACTAGAGGATTTGGGGTAATGTTTGGAGCTTATAGCGCAGATTTTTTGCTTCTACTTAAAATCCAGTTGCCCGTAAGGTAAAAGTTGGACGTCGTGGCTGGTTTATCTGGCCTGCCAGAGAGTGGGAGGGGGAGGGGGAGAACTAAGGGTGACTCATAGGCTTCCCCATTGCTGAAAATACACGTTACAGTAGAAATAATGCAGGGATGACAAAAGGAGGGCCCTGGCTTATAAAGAGTAAATGCAGCTGACAATGAAGAGGCTATTATAGATCTGAGTAAATAAGAGGCAATGTCAAACTGTACCAACTGTAGGACCAACACACACACACACACACACACAAACACACTATGACCTGTGGAGACCTCCTGTTCAACAAACAAGTAGTGTAATTATATGCCTGTGTGGCGCTGCAGGTGGAATGTGCTAGCGATAGTCAAGCCCTTGTTGTCATAAGGACTGGAAAGCAGCCCCAATAGCCAACAGACATGAGCTCACCATCATTACAATGAGAGGCGTGACCAAGCCCTGTCACCGCTACGGACCTGATGTTGCCGTGGAGACAGGACACACACGGACACACTCGCGCACACACAGATTGGCTTCGAGTGACACCACTGGGAAATTAAAATGGTGGCCCAAAAAAACAGGGTTTTATTGGCCAGTTCCAGCTTGATCCTGGATGTGTTTGCCTTGCAAGTTTGTGTGCATGTGTGTGTGATTGGCGCAGGGCACAGTACAGGTGCACTGTGCACATGCATCGCCTAATTATAATGACAATGTCAGCCAGTGTTGGAGAAATATTCACCACACTTGTCTGGCATGCGGCATCAAGCGCAGAAGAGCAATTACAGGCCTATCAAATCATTTTCCAGCTCTGTTGTGTGTGTGTGTGCGTGTGTGTGTGTATGTGAGGCTGTCAGCACTGTCAGTGTTTTCTGATTCTGGGAAACAACCCCCCAGCATGCTCTGCAACTTAACTTACAGCTACCTGTACGTCAGGACTGGGCTAATTGTAGCCAATTAGAGGAGAGATTGTTCAGACGCACGATCTTGTCGCAGTCCCTTTTTCACAGTGAAAAGCCTGAGGCGGTGGAGTGGAGGCAAAAAGTGAACCATTTTATTACGTTAATATGCTTCATACAAACGATGCATACACACTAGTTCCATATTGCTTCAGACATAAGTTTCTTTTCTGTTTGAATTCCAGTTAAACAACTCTGTAACAAAATGTAAGTACAACATTTATGAAAATATAAATCTCTAAACAGGTAAGTCAGTGCTGACAATACAAAGAATACAATAGAAACATTCATTATACCAGTGTTATAAGTTATTAAAAGTCATTCAAGTTACTTAACATACAATAATACCGTTAACTGGCTTCCATATGGACACATTCAAATATACTCTGAAACTGGCATTCCAATATATTTCTGAAACTTTTTTTTAGCAAAGATAGCATATCTATCATAAACATAATCACAGTAGAACACTGAAACAATTTGTTAACACTATCATTACAGTACAAGCCTCAAAAGAAACACAAACTATAATCGGGACTTTGGCAATTACTAATATCTTTTTTTTTCAATTTAAAAATTAAGTTGTAGGGAAATAAAACGTTTAAAGCTTGATGCTGCTACCCGGTTTGAAATTATCCAAGGGCCATTATCTTAACAGTTCAAAACTAGTCAACATACAATAAGATGGAATAGCCCTTGAAAAGTATACGTCAAAGTGTAAGTGTGTGGTTTTCAATCATGCCCGGCCGATGATTGGTCTCATCGGAGCGTTTTGGGTTATTACAGACATGCTTTAAAAAGCAATCACGGTAGCTGCAAGGTACACAACTTCATAGAGGAACTCTTTGTCAGCAGATTGTCAGCACACCAGATCTAAACAGCTTCTATTTCAGCCTGTCATGATGTTTACCACAGTCACATTTCTATGGGCTCACATAAGGGTCAAAAAGATTGAGAGATATAGATCACCCGTGTAACCACTGAATATATAAGGAAAACCATTTTTATTTTGTAGAAATAACAATAATGTCTCAATCAAATTTGTGCAAAAATAATATCAACAGTGAGGTAACTCAAAAGACTCAAATTGAACAGCTCTTGTGTGATCTGGGTACAGATTTGAAGCAGAAAGTACAAGTAAACGTAAAAAAAGAAAAAAGTGTTTTGGACATGATTTTGGCTGTAAAAGTTTAATACTTAAATGTGGATTCATCGAACAGTTTTCTGCTTTGAACACTTTGAACCCCTTTTTTTCTGGGTAACCTCGCAATTGACGGACTATTATTTTGCTTCTATTAATTATATTAATTCTATACATCTATTTATTTAACTTTGACAGTCTCAAATTATTATAACTACTTTTTTCCCCTACACATTCACAATATTGAATTCTCCATGCAAAGTTTATTTTCTCTCACAGGTTTACAAAAGCTGATACACAACCGAAGATCTTGAAATTATTTCTAAACATCATTTCACAAGCACAAAACCTTATTGGCCTTTATTTGATCCCATATATTTCCAAAGGTCCTGTCTTTGCTGTCA